TGTTTCATCGTTGCTACCTTCCCATGAGACAAGGACATTCTTAAAATGCCAAAAGTTTTGTTCCTTTTTGTAAAACAGAAAAAAAATTATGTTTTACAAGAATTTTTAAGTAAAGGAGGAAGATATTAAAACATAATGCTATAGTGATAACCATACTGGTAAAACTTGTTGGGAAGGTATTTTGGAAATATCTGCTGACATTTTAAAAAGTATATACCCTTAACCAGCAAGGCCACTAAGAATTTAACCTATTGCTGAATGCCATCAAGTCTATTCCAACTCAAGAGTAGCCCCAAGTGAACTGCTCCATAGGGTTTTCTTGATTTTCATCCAGCTTCACAGAAGCAGATCGCCAGGCCTTTCTCCAACGGAGCTACTGGGTGACTTCAAACCGCCAACCTTTTGGTTAGCAGCTGAGCGCCTAACTGCTGTACAACCACGACTCCTTCACCCTATGACTCAACTTCCCCAAGTGCCCCATGATATGCATCTGTGGCTTTTCACCATAACAAACAAAGGTCCTACCGAAAATATGCCAATGTTCATTGAAGCACTATTCAAAATCGCCAAAAGGCAGAAACAATCCAAGTGTCTATCAACAGATGAACAGATAAACAAATGTGGTCTAGCCATTCAACGGAATCCTACTCAGCCACGGAGAGAAATGAAATCCAGATACATGCCACGGCATGGATGATTCTTGAAAAGATCATTAAGTAAAGTCAGAGCCCAAAGGGCAAATATTGTATGATCCCACTTACACCAAATATCTAGAATAGAGAAATGCATGGAGACCAGAGTTTATCAGTGACTACCAAGGGCTGGGGGAAAGGCAGGATGGGGCGGTATTGCTGAAGGGGTACTGAGTTTCTGTTTGGTGTGAGGAAAGACTTTTGGAAATAGAGAATAATAAGTGGTTGCCCAACATAGTGAATATAATTAATGTCATTGAATTGTACACTTAAAAATGGTTAAAATGGAAAATTTTTATTATCATACTTTAATCTCCTCACCCCAAACACACACATATATACAAAACCAACAGCCCCGGCTTATTAAAGGAGGCAGTTTTTGACTGATGGGCTTATAGGGCTATGTCTTACATTTATATGGTGTCTAAGTTTTTGTTCATAGCATAGATACTATTTCTTAGTGGTAAAAGAATATATTTTTAAGTGTCATGTTCCTTTGTTTTTTACTTGAATGGTACCAACACAATATGCTGTCCCAAAACTTTGGCCATTATCAATTTGCCTTACATTTTTGTAAGTGGAAGAATTGGTTCTTTATCTAATAAATGGAGTAAACGGAATAAATAATAATAAAACCTCTACCAAACAAAATATAGAGGTGGGTAGCCCCACTAGCCAATCCCAGCCTCCCCTCACTCACCCGTTTAAGTCAAAAGCTCGGATGAGGATATGCTGTAATACATCCAGAGATGTGATCTGGGGGTCGACAGCGAAGGACCGGAACTCAGGCGGCAAGAAGTTCTCACACTTCTGGGGAGAGAAGACACCAGGCAGGCCATCAGGGGCCGCATCACCATGCTGAAGTGAAATGTGACGGACAAAGTGGTAGAAGACAAGGTCAGAGAAGTGGCAGGGACTAGAGATGGAGGAGGGTATTCTAGATCAGGCTGGGGCCTTTGGTTTTTGCTCTGAGAGAGGAGCCTCAGGAGGGTTTTGAGCAGAAGAGGGACTTGATTTGGCTTAGGATTTAACTGGCTCCTTCTGACTGCTAGCAGTCCAATGGGGAAGAGGCTACTGCAATGGTCCAGGCACCCTTTTTCTACAAACATATCCTAGTATCACTGTGTCCTGTCTGGCCCTATTAAATTAATCCTTCATGCTATAGCCAATGTTAGCATATTTATCTACAGCATTCACATGTGTAAACCTCTTGGCAACCCACAACCTACAGGAGAAGCTTCAGGATTCCCAGCCAGAGGACTGATGGCCATCTTTTCTTCAACTTTACGCTCTGGTAGTACCAAATTTCTGGAAGTAAAGTTGAACACCTTTTGACCCCAAGTTTTTCCTTATGCAACCCTCTAGTCTGGAATGTCCTTCCCACTTTCTTCTCTTGGCTTACTTGCAGCTCAGGCATCACTGTTTTTCTGAACCCCCAAACCTCTACCATGGCGCTTGCTTTATTACACTGAAATGGTCTGTATTTCTCTCCAGAACCTACCTTCTTCTCATTACCACCACTGACACCATCCTGATCCAAGCCACTATCACTGCTTGCCCACACTACTACACATCCCTTTTACTTGGATGGTACACCAAAGAGGAACCCTGGTGGTGCAGTGGTTAAACACTGGACTGCTAACCAGAAGGGGTTCCAACCCACCAGCTGCTCCATGGGAAGCAATGGCAGTTGGCTTCTGTGAAGATTTACAGCCTTGGAAACCCTATGGGGAAGTTCTATTCTGTCCTATACGGTGGCTATGAGTTATGATCGACTAGACACAAAGGGATATATATATATACCAAAGACCTTTCCCAATCTACCCTACTGCCCACCACTCTGCCTCACTTTCGGCTCTAGTAATATGGAAACCTAGGGAAATAGACAAGTTCATTCCCACCCCCACTCGGCCTTTGCAGTTCCCTCTGCCTATACGCGGCAC